GTATCAAACTGAAATGTGAGCTAATGTTCATTATGGTCTGTTGTGTGGGTGAACAAAGGGTTTGAAATTCATGAATTCTGTTTGATAATGTTGAAATGAGCGAGGCCTCAGATCAAAGAACCTGTTCTAAAAGACAAGCTACAGGTCATTAGAGTGGAAGCTCACCTGAGAGGGTTTTGCATCTCCTTTGTAACTTTTTCCCTGTTTCATGCTCTCCCATATCTCTATCTTCTGCCTCCTCTTCTCCTCTTCTTGCTGTTTGAAGAACACAATGAGTTTAGGTCCATCAGATCATCACAACATCATCATCTCTCTTTGACTTCTGCACCTGTTTCTGTTTTTCTTTGAAGAGGACTGCCTTGGCATCAAGCTCCACTTGCATCTTTCTCCGGGCTGCTTCCATGGCCTCTTGTCTTCTTGCCACGAACGCAGAATCTTCACAAACATGCACACAGAAAATGTAGTCTTCACTAATAAGCAGTGAATCCCTTTGAAATAAACTATTGACATGATCCACAGTTGTTACAGTGGTGAAAATCATCAGTTTCTAGACCCAACTTTGATGAAGGGACAACTTGTTCCGAGGGAAGGAAGTGAAAATCTACTGTATATAATGTTCAGAATATTATAATGAATCAGATGAACTACAGATGAGTGCATGTGAACAGACTGAGGGTCTGAGAGAATGTAATGCATCACAGCACAGACATGTTGGAGGGATTACACTGCACCACGCACAAAGAGTTTGGCACAGACTGTAAAGGTTAATATCTGATTCAAATCAAATACTTACATTAATCTATCTTCTCTTGCATGCTACTTCCCTAAATGTGAATTCTAGACATGACACATGAGTCACAGAGAAACCTGTGACCAGACTGTTTCTTTTGTGAGATTATTCAGATGTGGTCTTTTGTGTTCCTGTGTGTGTTTCAGAGAGAAACTACACAAAGACACTGTATTTTAGTGGCTTCTGTCACACAGACACATTTACTCAGATGTTGGACAGTCTCAATTAAAGCTGATACATGTCACTGATGAACTTGTTGATACATTTATTTACTTCTCTTACACAAGAGTTATATTTTTTGAAAGACAAATGGTGTTGAAGTAAAGTTCTAATTGTTTTACAGAATGGCAGTAGTTGTTTAGAGAATATGCTACACCTAATAGGAATAAATAACCAATCAATCATTCAGTTTGACAATACTCATTATAGGTTTGTAGCTAATATGAGGTTTCAGTAGTCTGAATTAGAAAAACTGCTCAATTGTGTTTTTAAACTTTCCACATGCACTGATCCTCCAGAGTTTCTCTGCAGGGACTGCATGTGCCGACGCCACTGTCGATGTGCTGTAAACAAAACGTGATCTCTGCAGCAGCGTTCATATGTTTTGTCCTATCTCCGCCTGCAGCACCCCCCCCCTCAACTGAATCCTCCAGAGGATTTTTCGCTGTTGTGACCGTGTCTGAGCAGAGGATCTCCTGCTGCATGTTAATGTGTGACAGGAAACCTCTGGATAAAGTCTGGACATAAATCTCTGGAGTTTGTCCGGAGGACATGTAAACAGGGCAGGAGACCCACTTAATATGAAAGCCTCACAGTAAAATGGATTTTATCCAGAAGAAGACGAGTCATGTTGCAAAAGACTCACAGACAGTATGAACAGGGAGATTAAAGGCACTGATTACTCAATGAACACACATTAGGAGGAATGTTTAATGATTCCATATGTATCCAAACAATATCCACACAGCTATTTCCAGGAACAGTGTCCCAGTCACTTTGGAAAACTGATAACAGGATCTCTCTCTGACTGGTGCTCTTCTGGTTAACAAGTGCATGTATGTGATGAACGTGATATTTAGAACTATTATAAAGACTACTGCAAACAACAATGCTATAGTGATATTCTTTTACCCCACATTGTTCATGGAGTGCTGTTTTGATACAATTTACTCACATTTGACAAATCAGACCTTTGCACCTTTATGCATCACGTATGACATGTGGTTCTCACCTTGTGGTGTTGGTGTGGCGGAGCTGTGGGAGCTCTGGCTGGATCTCTTCCTGCTCAGGTACTGGATGAGCAGGTATCCCAGCACAGACACCAGCAGCAGATACCAACCATACTGGGACAGGAGCTCTGCCGCTGAAAACACATCCAACATTAGATGCATATGAATCAATATTAATATTACCACTAAGGTTCAAGAAACTGGGATGAGATGAGAGATACTGCCCTTATTAATTGAACATTTCAGGGAGGGATTGTGATTAACATATATCATATCAGATATATGCAGTTCATTAAACTTTAATATATCTGATATATCACATTAAAAACCTGGTTTAACGGTCTGTATGAAGATACAACCATGTATGTCATATATATACACACATGTACAGACACACACATGTATGGCTGTGTGTGTGTATTCACATACATATGACTAATTCGGTTTGGTGTGAACAGCTAGCTTCACACAGGGAGACGAGCTGCCATCAGCTAGCATCTACTTCCGCTAGCAACTGGTGTTTGTCTCCATAAGCTGGGCTAACTATCAGGATGCTCTTGTTTCCGATAACTGAAGTAATCAGTAATCATCGGCTGGTCGGATCTGAAGCCATGTCCGCTCAGCAGTAAACACAGTGGTCCTGTCCGAGGCGAACTAACCCGTGAGGCTCAGGGAAGTCAGATCCTGGTTCTTCGGTGGTTCTTTCTCCACATGATATCCTCCCTCGTCTGTGATCTCCACGTCATCCATCTCTCTGCTCTTATACTCAACCCTATCCTCTCCTGGGTCACTTGTTATGGACTAGTCCCCGTGTCGACCATATTTGATTGAACTTAAACAGAGGAAACGTGACGTGGTCAGTTTATACTCGCGACCGTTCTTCTTTGAGGATTGTTGACGGTTATATCTGTTAAAGGCGCACTACTGCCACCTACAGGCCCGGATGAACGTTTAAGTTTTCCTTGTGTACACACATGTATATATATGTACACAAATATCAACATGTATAGCATTTATCGCAAAAAGAAGTTATTGTACTTAGATCTCCAGTCACTGAAAAAAGTGATTTACTATGAACCCATGTTGATCATGCATAACTCTTAAAAGCAAAAAAAAAAACAACAAAGAAAACCAGTCTAAGCAGTAACATTTGCAGACTAGGTTGTGTCAACTTATATTAAAGATCAGCTCTGCATAACAACCTTTTTGATAAGGGCTTGGCTTGCGGCTCAACTTCCAGAAAATCCAGGACCTTATTTCAGCACTGACAGAGATAGGCATGTTGTTTTCTAAGGTAATGGTACATGGGACATGATCCTTCCTTTTGACAAAATGTCAGGAAATTATGACATCTGATAATTTATATCTCAATCCATTTCTTCTCACAAGTGCAATACCCCTTTAAAATATTGGACAGAGTCCACATAAGTGAATTGCATTCACTTGGAAATGTCAATGGCTGCTTCACAAAGAAATTGGTCCCAACTCACAACAATATTCAAAATTTGTTTAATGATGGTCATTTTACAAAATAAAAAACCAGCCCTGGTAAATGTATGCGCAACACAAGAAATTCACAACATAAAAAAACAACACAAAATGCTTTCAGGGTTTTCAGGAGCCATTAACATGTGGCTCTTCATCCATAGCTTCATCATCCTCTTGATCTCTCTCATTCATCTGCTCTCCAGCATCTCCACCCACGGGTGTTTCCATCTGTTCAGTGTCTTCCTCTTCCTCCTCCTCTTCTTCCTTCACCATGCCACCAGGACCTGATTTTACAAAAATATAGATTTATTCATTCATCTAACAAAATATAATGAGGCTGCAAAACCAATCAAATCAATCGGATTATCCCAGATTTTCTTTGTCAATTTCTTAATAATCTATCCACACCAGGTGCTGTAGTGAGCAGTTGCTGTTTCTTCATGGCAACAAAAGGAACATGTCAGCCAATGGAACTGAGAAGATCACTGATGTGTTTTAATACCTTAAATGGATAGTTCACAAATTTAATTTCACTCATTATCTACTGTTGGTCGAAGTGTTTGAGTCCATGAAACACTTCTGGAGACTCATGGGTAAACAGCGTTGCAGGAGAATCCAATACAATTGAAGGGAATGGCGACATACACTTCATAAACAAAAAAATAACATGCCTCCATACTGCTTGTGTTGTGTCATCCAAGTGTCCGCAAGCCCTGACATTCAAATTCAACTCAAAACAAGGTCATTTCCATCGTGTTTTTAGCCTAAAAGTCCACTTATATCTTTCTACGAGGTGCATTCATGTACCTTGGACACACCATTGTTAGCCACTTCCTGTGGACTTTGAGCCTCAAAACGCAGAGTAAATGACTTCATTTCGAGTCATATGAATGTCATGGTTTGCAGATATGCACTTGGATGACACCGTGCAGTATGGAGGCATTGTTTTATTCAACTGAAGTGTAAGTCACCACATAATAATTGTATTTGATTCTGCTGCAACAAATGTTAGCCCAAGACTCGAGAAGTCTAACATGGACTTAAACACTTCACCCACCTCTCCATCAACATAGTGGTGAGTAGACAATAGATCTCAATGACAGAGGAATTATGCCGGCAAGACACAGCAAAAAACTATGACAATAATCTGCTAAATTGACATTGTGATCATTGTAACAGGCACAAGTATCTTGTACTCTAAGCCCAGTCTTGTTATTTAAAAAAGGTGTTATAAAATATAGTAATAATATATGCTAGTGGCTAATAATATAGCTACTACTGTGTTTGGTCTGCAGCGTTAGCTTGCTTCTGAAACAGTACTATGTCAGCACTGACCTTGTCTTTGATCTCGGCCTGGGATCTGTCCGGCCTGCAGCATCCCTTTCAACCTCTCCACCTCAGCCAATGACGAAGCATTGGCGATGGCATTCTGAAATACAAACACATTAACTTAAACCTCAGTCTGAACTGATCCTACAAATCCTGTTTACCCTTTTAAATCCTTCCCTTCATCTCCACTGTGGGTCAGCACCATGTATTTACTGAAATTGTCTATGTCGTAAGTCTGTGATATGAGTGAAGTTAAAATTTAGGCATAATTGCTCATTCGTAGCATTGTAAACTAACAAAACATGTCTCTACTCAAGGTTCTCTTGCTGACTTTTATATCTTTTGACAACTCACTGTTCTT